GAACTTGGGCATTTTCACCTTGGGCATCTTCAGGTGCCAGTCTGGGCCATGAACATCCACATCTGGGACATCAATGTCCACTTTGGGGCCTTTGATGTCAACTTCCGGGCCCTTTAGATCACCTTCCATTTTAGGCAGAGAAACATCCACATCACCTTTCACCTTCGGACCCTTCAGATTGAGATCCACTTCAGGCATGGAAATTTTGGGGGTTTTGAGGTGCAGGTCAGGCATTTTAAACTTGGGGCCCTTCAGTTTCCCCTCTGGACCATGAATATCAATGTCAGGAGTGTCTATGTCTAGCTTAGGGCCTTTGATGTCCATTTTGGGGCCTTTCAGATCTCCTTCCAGTTTAGGAGTAGAAATGGCCAAATCTCCTTTTACCTTAGGCCCTTTCAAATTCAAATCAATGTCACCCATGGAGATTTGAGGAGTTTTGAAATGGACATCAGGCATCTTAAATTTTGGCCCTTTGATTTTCCCTTCAGGACAGTCTATGTCCACCTCTGGCCCTTTCAGACCACCTTCAACATTGGGGAGTGAAAGGTCCACATCCCCCTTTACCTTTGGTCCTTTCAGATTTAAGTCCAAGTCAGGCATGGAGATTTTGGGGGCTTTAATGTGCATCTCAGGCATCTTAAATTTGGGCCCCTTCAGTTTCCCTTCTGGGCCTTCAATACTAACATCAGGAGTGTCGATGTTCAACTTTGGACCCTTGATATCAATTTCAGGGCCTTTTATGTCACCTTCAACTTTGGGCAGGGAAACATCAACGTCACCTTTTACTTTGGGGCTCTTCAGATGCAAATCAAAGTCAGGCATGGAGATCTTGGGAGCCTTGATGTTCATCTCAGGCATCTTGAACTTTGGCCCCTTCAGTTTTGCATCTGGTCCTTCAATATTCACATCAGGTCCCTCAATGTCCACTTTGGGTCCTGAGATGTCAATATCAGCCTTGGGCAGGTCCACGTCCACTTCCGGGCCCTCACCTTTGAAGCCAGGCATATGGAACTTGGGCATTTTCACCTTGGGCATCTTCAGGTGCCAGTCTGGACCATGGA